GTTGTGCCCTGAGGGTTGTGCATTTAAGGGTTGTGCATTGAGGGTTGTTCAGCACTGAGGGTTGTGCCCTGAGGGTTGTGCATTGTGGGTTCTGCACCAGGGGTTGTGCAGCACTGAGGGTTGTGCAGTACTGAGGGTTGTGCCCTGAGGGTTGTGCATTGAGGGTTGTGCACTGAGGGTTGTGCATTGAGGGTTGTGCACTGAGGGTTGTGCATTGAGGGCTGTGCACTGAGGGTTGTGCACTGAGGGTTGTGCACCGAGGGTTGTGCACTGAGGGTTGTTCAGTGAGGGTTGTGCCCTGAGGGTTGTGCACAGAGGGTTGTGCAGCACTGAGGGTTGTTCAGTGAGGGTTGTGCACTGAGGGTTGTGTTGAGGGTTGTGCCCTGAGGGTTGTTCATTGAGGGTTGTACACTGAGGGTTGTGCAGCACTGAGGGTTCTGTATAAGGGGTTGTGCATTGAGGGTTGTGCAGCACTGAGGGTTGTGCACTGAGGGTTGTGCATTGTGGGTTGTGTTGAGGGTTGTACATTGAGGGTTGTTCATTGAGGGTTGTACACTGAGGGTTGTGCAGCACTGAGGGTTCTGTATAAGGGGTTGTGCATTGAGGGTTGTGCAGCACTGAGGGTTGTGCACTGAGGGTTGTGCACTGAGGGTTGTGCATTGAGGGTTGTACATTGAGGGTTGTTCATTGAGGGTTGTACACTGAGGGTTGTGCAGCACTGAGGGTTCTGTATAAGGGGTTGTGCATTGAGGGTTGTGCAGCACTGAGGGTTGTGCACTGAGGGTTGTGCACTGAGGGTTGTGCAGTGAGGGTTGTTCATTGGGGGTTGTGCACTGAGGGTTGTGCATTGAGGGTTGTGCACTGAGAGCTGTGTAGCACTGAGGGTTGTTCATTGAGGGTTGTGCATTGAGGGTTGTGCATTGAGGGTTCTTCCCTAAGGGTTGTGGAGCACCCAGGGTTGTTCATTGGGGGTTGTGCACCAAGGGTTGTGCATTGAGGGTTGTGTTGAGGGTTGTGCACTGAGGGTTTTGCACTGAGGGTTGTGCATTGAGGGTTGTGTTGAGGGTTGTGCATTGAGGGTTGTGGAACATCAGGGATTGTGCACTGAGGGTTGTTCATTGAGGGTTGTGTATTGAGGGTTGTGCATTGAGAGTTGTGCACTGAGGGCTGTGCATTCAGGGTTGTTCAGCACTGAGGGTTGTGCATTTAAGGGTTGTTCATTGAGAGTTGTTCAGCACTGAGGGTTGTGCATTGAGAGTTGTGCGTTGAGAGTTGTGCAGCACTGAGGGTTGTGTTAAGGGTTGTGAATTGAGGGTTGTTCAGCACTGAGGGTTGTGCACTGAAGGTTGTTCAGCACTCAGGGTTGTGTATTGAGGGTTGTTCAGCACTGAGGGTTCTGCCCCCAGGGCTGTGCAGCAGCAGCCCCAAGGAAGTGCAGCCCCGAGCTGCGCCCCAGCTGAGGGTTGTGGGACACCACGAGCGCGGGGGGCTGTGCAGCACCCCAGGATGTGCTGCCTGCGAGCCACGGGCGGTTTGTGCCGCAGGACGAGGAGGAGGAGGAGGAGGAGCGGGAGGAGGATGTGCAGCCCCATCCGGCTCCTGCACCACATCCGAGCTCCCTCGTGCACCTCAGGCTGTGCCCCAGGACAGGCAGCACTGAGGGTTGTGCCCCCAGGATGGGCAGATTGGGCACCCCAGGTTGTGCCCCCAGACGGGCAGCACCGAGGGTTGTGCCCCCAGGACGGGCAGCATTGAGGGTTGTGCCCCCAGGATGGGCAGCACCTCAGGTTGTGCCCCCAGGATGGGCGACACTGAGGGTTGTGCCCCTGGGATGTGCAGATTGGGCACCTCAGGCTGTGCCCCAGGACGGGCAGCACCTCAGGCTGTGCCCCCAGGATGGGCAGATTGGGCACCCCGGGGTGTGCCCCCGGGATGTGCAAATTGGGCACCTCGGGGTGTGTCCTGAGGTCGGGCAACACCTCAGGCTGTGCCCCCAGGACGGGCAGCACCTCAGGCTGTGCCCTCGGGACATGCAGATTGGGCACCCCGGGGTGTGCCCCAGGATGTGCAGATTTGGCACCCCAGGTTGTGCCCCAGGATGTGCAGATTGGGGGCACCTCAGGTTGTGCCCCAGGACAGGCAGCACTGAGGGTTGTGCCCCCAGGATGGGCAGTACCTCAGGTTGTGCCCCCAGGATGGGCAGATTGGGCACCTCAGGTTGTGCCCCCGGGATGTGCTGACTGTGCCCCAAAGGTTGTGCCCCCAGGATAGGCAGATTGGGCACCTCAGGTTGTGCCCCAGGACAGGTAGCACTGAGGGTTGTGCCCCCAGGATGGGCAGTACCTCAGGTTGTGCCCCCAGGATGTGCAGATTGGGCACCTCAGGCTGTGCCCCAGGATAGGTAGATTGGGCACCTCAGGTTGTGCCCCAGGACGGGCAGCATTGAGGGTTGTGCCCCCAGGATGTGCAGATTGGGGGCACCTCAGGCTGTGCCCCCAGGATGTGCAGGTTGGGCACCTCAGGTTGTGGCCCTGGAATGTGCTGACTGTGCCCCACAGGTTGTGCCCCCAGGACAGGCAGCACCTCAGGCTGTGCCCCAGGATGGGCAGCACTGAGGGTTGTGCCCCCAGGATGTGCAGATTGGGCACCTCAGGTTGTGCCCCCGGGATGGGCAGCACCTCAGGTTGTGCCCCCAGGATGGGCAGATTGGGCACCTCAGGTTGTGCCCCCAGGATGGGCAGCACCTCAGTTTGTGCCCCCAGGATGGGCAGATTGGGGGTACCTCAGGTTGTGCCCTCGGGATGTGCAGATTGGGCACCTCAGGCTGTGCCCCTGGGATGTGCAGATTGGGCACCTCAGGTTGTGCCCCCAGGACAGGCAGCACCTCAGGCTGTGCCCTGGGATGTGCAGATTGGGCACCCCAGGGTGTATCCCAAGGCTGGGCAGCACCTCAAGTTGTGCCCCAGGACGGGCAGCACTGAGGGTTGTGCCCCCAGGATGTGCAGATTGGGCACCCCAGGTTGTGCCCCCAGGATGTGCAGATTGGGGGCACCTCAGGCTGTGCCCCAGGACGGGCAGCACTGAGGGTTGTGCCCCCAGGATGGGCAGTACCTCAGGTTGTGCCCCCAGGATGTGTAGATTGGGCACCCCAGGTTGTGCCCCCGGGATGTGCAGCCCCATCCTGCCCTTGTCCCAAATCTGAGCACCCTCATGCACCAAGGGTGTGCAACCCCTTCTCCATGTTCTCCAGACCCTTCTCCATGTTCCCCATCCCCTTCTCCATGTTCTCCAGCCCCTTCTCCATGTTCCCCATCCCCTTCTCCATGTTCTCCAGACCCTTCTCCATGTTCTCCAGCCCCTTCTCCATGTTCTCCAGCCCCATCTCCATGTTCTCCAGATCCTTCTCCATGTTCTCCAGCCCCTTCTCCATGTTCTCCAGCCCCTTCTCCATGTTTTCCAGACCCTTCTCCATGTTCTCCAGCCCCTTCTCCATGTTCTCTATCCCTATCTCCATGTTCTCCAGCCCCTTCTCCATGTTCTCCATCCCTATTTCCATGTTCTCCAGCCCCTTCTCCATGTTCTCCAGCCCCTTCTCCATGTTCTCCATCCCTATCTCCATGTTCTCCATCCCTATTTCCATGTTCTCCATCCCTATCTCCATGTTCTCCATCCCTATTTCCATGTTCTCCAGACCCTTTTCCATGTTCTCCAGCCCCTTCTCCATGTTCTCCATCCCTATTTCCATGTTCTCCATCCCTATTTCCATGTTCTCCAGCCCCTTTTCCATGTTCTCCAGCCCCTTCTCCATGTTCTCCATCCCTATCTCCATGTTCTCTCACGTCTTCCAAGGGATAAAAAAGTCTTCCAAGGGAAAAATGAGTCATCCAATACAAAAAATGGTTGAATTGAAATGTGAATTATTCACCTTAAAAGGTGAATTATTCCCTGATTCCCTTTTTTTTTCTCCCCCCGTGTTCTCTCCCCGGCCCCAGTGATGGAGAGAACGGCAAATTTTGGGGTTCAAACAGAGGAAAACAGGATGGTTTAAAAAAAAAGAAGAATGGGTCAAGCTGGTAAAATCCATATTTAATGTTGTTGAATTTGCATTTTTTCAGGTGGAAAGTGTCATTTTATTGTCCTTCTATTGTCTTTTCATTGCCCTTTTATTGTCCTTGTATTGTCCTTTTATTGTCTTTTATTGTTCTTTATTTATTGACCTTCATTGTCCTTTATTGTCTTGGGTTGTCCATTATTTATTAACCTTTACAGTCCTCTTGTTGTTCATTTATTATCCTTTTATTATCCTTTTATTGTCTTTTATTGCTCTTTATTTATTGACCTTTGTAGTGCTTTTATTGACCTTTATTGTCCTCTGATTGACCTTTTATTGTCCTTTTATTTATTGTCCTTTTATTGACCTTTATTGTCCTCTGACTGACCTTTTATTGTCCTTTTATTTATTGACCTTTTATTGTCCTTTTATTTATTCTTCTTTTATTGCTTGTCCTTTTATTGCCCCTTCCTTTATCATCCCTTCCTTCTGCTTTTATTTATTCTCCTCTAATTATTTACATTTTAAATTCCCAACTCCCCGGGGACGAGCAGCCCAATCGACACCCCAGCTGCTAATTAATGCCGATTAAATCCAATTATTCTTCTCGTTTCTCCCATTCCCACCCCTCCCACTCCTCCAGCCTCTTCGTTTGGGATTCAGAACTTCATTTTTCCCTAAATCCGGGTTTTCCCGCTGCCAGATACGGTAGGAATATCATCCACGGGTGAGCACCGACCGCTCCTCCAGAGGCTTTGCCACCTCCACGGGATTTTGGGAGCCTTTTCCTGCTCCCTCGAGCATCCAAAGGGTTGATTTTCCAGGAATATTCCAGCCACAGAATTCCCTGCACGTTGGAATTCCCATCACGGAGCAACTCAGGATTCATCCAAAATGCCAATTTTCGCTGTTTTTACAGCACAAACATGGGAATTTCTCTGGAATTGCACGTGTATCCCAAAAAAAAACCCCCTGCATTGACCCATCCTTGGGATTCCCTTCCCATTGGCCATCGGTTCTCCCTCCCTTCTCCGCCTCCCTTGGGCATTTTTAATGCAATTCCCAGTTTTTGAGCTGTTTATGGTCATTCCCTGAATTCTGGCCCCCGGGAATCACTTTTCTCCTCCCTTTCCTGGTAAATAAACCCCAAACCCGTTACTTTTAACCCCAATTTTGGTGAAGAAATGCCTGAGGTTCCCCGGCAAGATTATTCCGGCGCCAGATCCCGAGACGACATCAGGAAATACGGCGGCATTCCGGGTGGGAATATCTCAATTACCACGACTTTCCAGGCGGGAAAAGCCGGATGTGGGAGTGGAATTTTGCCATGAGATAATTCCTAGAGGATGGTTTTGGGGCAATTAAGGAGTTTTTAGGTGGATTTCTACGTTCGAACCGGTTCTGGAGATTTGGGGGTTGGCGGCGACCGGAGGGACGTTCCCGGTGGGGTCATCCCGTGGATCCCACGGAGCTGCTGGAGCTGTTAAGGCTCTTCCTCCCCCTCTTCCCTGTCCTTGTCCCTGTCCCTGTCCTGGTCCTGCTCCTGCTCCTTGTCCAGCTTGTACTTGAGGCGGCGCAGGGGGTGGGTGAAGCTCCTGCGGGCGCTTTTGTCGAAATCCTCGGCCAGGCGGAAATTCCTGTCCAGGATCTCGGCGGCCTCCCGCCAGTTCTGGAAGCAGCTGGGCCCCATCCTCTGGATCTCCTCCACGGCGTTGGCCACCAGGACGTCCCCGCTGGGCTTCAGCACCACCACGGCCGGCACCTCCGAGACGGCGGCGCAGCTCCAGCTCCCTGCCCCGAACGGGAACGGCACCGGGAATGGTGGGGATGGGAGAGGGTGGGAGGGATGGGGTGGGATTGATGGGATTGATGGGATTGATGGGATGGGATGGGGTGGGATGGGATGGGGTGGGATTGATGGGATTGATGGGATGGGATGGGATGGGATGGGATTGATGGGATGGGATGGGATGGGATGGGATGGGATTGATGGGATGGGATGGGATTGATGGGATGGGATTGATGGGATGGGAGATGGGGATGGGATTGATGGGATGGGATGGGATGGGATGGGAGATGGGGATGGGATGGGAGATGGGGGATGAGAGATGGGAGATGGGGATGGGAGATGGGAGTGGGATGGGGGATGAGGATGGGAGATGGAGATGGGAAATGGGAGTGGGAGATGGGAATGGGGATGGGATGGGAGATGGGATTTGATGGGGGATGGGGATGGGGATGGGATGGGATTGATGGGATGGGATGGGATGGGATGGGAGATGGGGATGGGAGATGGGGGATGAGAGATGGGAGATGGGGATGGGATGGGATGGGATGGGAGGGGATGGGATGGGATGGGAGGGATGGGATGGGATTGATGGGATGGGATGGGATTGATGGGATGGGATGGGATGGGATGGGATGGGATGGGATTGATGGGATTGATGGGATGGGAGGATGGGATGGGATGGGGTGGGATGAGGGTGGGGTGGGATTGATGGGATGGGATGGGATGGGATTGATGGGATGGGGTGGATGAGATGAGATGGGATGGGAGGGGATGGGATTGATGGGATGGGATGGGGATGGGATTGATGGGATGGGATGGAGATGGAGATGGGATTGATGGATGGGATTTGATGGGGAGATGGGGATGGGGATGGAGATGGGATGGGATGGGAGATGGGATTGATGGGATGGGATGGGATGAGATGGGATGAGATGAGATGGGATGGGATGGGATGGGATGGGATGGGATGGGATGGGAGGGATGGGATTGATGGGATGGGATGGGATGGATGGGATGGGATGGGATGGGAGGGATGGGATTGATGGGATGGATGGATTGATGGGATGGGATGGATGATTGATGGGATGGGATTGATGGGATGGGATGGGATGGGATGGGATGGGATGGGATGGGATGGGAGATGGGGATGGGATAGAGATAGGAGATGGGATGGGATGGGATGGAGATGGGAATGGGAGATGGGATTTGGGTGTCAGGGGATGGGGTTGGATGGGAGATGGGATATGGGTGGTGGGAGATGGGATTTGATGGGAGGTGGAATTTGGGGGATGGGGGTTGATGGGATTTGGGTGTCGGGATGGGATTTGGTGGGAGATGGGATTTAATGTGAGATGAGATTTGGGTGATGGGATTTGGGAGATGGGATTTGGGTGATGGGAAATGGGATTTGGGTGATGGGAGAAGGAATTTGGGTGTTGGGAGATGGGATCCAGCTCCCAGGTCCCGTTTTTCCGGCCATTAAACACCAACAAGAGGCCCCAAATTCCAACCTCCTGCAGTTTATCCTCCAAAGGAGGCGGGAACCATTCTGGGTGTTAATTGGGGTGTTAATTAGGCTCGTTCTGCCACTAACGAGGTTACAGTAAATGCTTCCAATCCGGCCATGTCCCAATCCAGGGCTCTGGGCCCAGCCCGTGACGTTTGGGGGTTATAAATAGAAGGGAAAATCGGGAGACAGGAACAGTGGGAATGTTTTATGCATTTTGAATTAAATCTCCCTGAGTTTGGGGTCCTGGGATTGTGGGGTCCTATTTAAATATATGTTTATATTTAAAATAGATATAAAATATGTAGGTGTTGTGATATAAAATGGCATTATATTTATATATAATATGATATAGAATTACATGATATTTATGTATAATACATAATGACTCTATATTTGTATATGTTATATATAATGACATTGTATTTATATATAATATACAATGACATTTTATTTATATACAATGCATAACGCCATTATATTTTTATACAATATATAATGGCATTATATTTATATATATAATATGATATATAGTTACACAATATCTGTATATAATATACAATGCCATTATATTTATATAAAATATATAATGGCATTATATTTATATATAATATGATATATAGTAGCATTGTTATATTTCCATATAATATTACATATGACATACATAATGTAGATTTTATATGATGTATAATGGCATTTTATTATATATAACATGATATAGAATGACACAATACTTATATATAATATGTTATATAACGACACAATATTTATATACAAATTATAACGACATTATATTTATTTACAATATGACATGTAACGGTATTAATATTGTATTTACATATAATATCATGTAGGACATATATATCATATATTACATATATAATATATATGTGTGTATATATTACATATATGTTATATATTTGTGTGTATTTGTAATATATTTCATATCTTATATATGTGTATATATATGTTTTATATATATCTTATATTACATATATGATATATATGTGTCTATATATAATATATTGCATATATGTTATATATATGAGTAGATATAATATAGTAGATATATATGAGTAGATATAATATAGTAGATATAATATATTACATATGTTATGTAAATGTGTATATGTAATACATATATGTTATATACATGTGTGTTTTTATATATTACATATATGTGTTTTTATATATATATGTATATATATACCCCATATATTATATATATTTTATGTATGATATATATGTGTATATATAATACATTACATAAATGTTATATATATGTGTATATATATATTATATATGTTTTATATATACTATGTATATGTGTGTATACATACATTTTTCTATATATATATACACTCCATATGTTATATATATTTTATATATGTTATATGTATGTGTGTATGTATACATACATTTTATATATACATACACACCCCATATATTATATATATTTTATATATATCATATATATGTGTGTGTGTATACATACATTTTATATATATATATACCCCCCATATATTATGTATATTTTATATATATTATATATGTGCGTGTATACATACATTTTATATATATATATACACCCCATATATTATATATATTTTATATATATTATATATATGTGTGTATGTATACATACTTTTATATATATATATATATATACACCCCATATATTATATATATTTATATATGATACATAATGTCATTATATTACATTACAACACGGATTAAACCACATTTTACCACACGGATCACAACCAAAACCCTCCCAGCCCGAGGTCTCTGCTGGTTTCCCATTCACACCCCACCCCCCCCTCTCCTCCCAAGCCCCTCAGCCCCCCAGAGCAGGGTCAGGCGTGTCCCCCCCGTGTCCCCCGGCCCCGCGGGGTGCGCGTACCTGGCGAAGGTGTCCCCGAAGGGCAGCGCGAGCCAGCGGCGGGGCATGGAGCGCAGGAAGGCGCTCTGCTGCTCCTCCGTCTCGTCGCGGGACACGTAGACCAGCCCGAGCTGCGAGGAGCGCTCCACGTAGAACTCGTCGGTGAGGCGCTGGAAGAAGTCCCTGAGCAGCGGCGAGAAGCGCTGGCAGCGCGGGCACTGCCCCGAGCCGAAGTAGAGCAGCAGCACCTTGTTGTCCAGAGCCCCGCGCAGCTCCCGCTCCGTGTCCAGCTCGTCACGCTCGCGGTTCGCCCGCAGCACCTTCCCGGAGAAGAGCGCCGACATGGCACGGGCCGGGAAGGGTCGTTCTGGGGGGGAAATGGGAGGTGGGGACGGATGGGGAGCGCCGGGAGAAGGGGATGGATGGGGAGCACCGGGAGAAGGGGATGGAGGTGGGGAGAAGGGACGGGGAGCACCGGGAGAAGGGGATGGAGGTGGGGAGAAGGGACAGGGAGCACCGGGAGAGGGATGGAGGTGGGAGAAGGGACAGGGAGCACCGGGAGAAGGGGATGGAGGTGGGGAGCGCCGGGAGAAGGGGATGGAGGTGGGGAGCACCGGGAGAAGGGGATGGAGGTGGGGAGAAGGGACGGGGAGCACCGGGAGAAGGGGATGGAGGTGGGGACGGATGGGGAGCGCCGGGAGAAGGGAACAGAGGTGGGGACGGATGGGGAGCACCGGGAGAAGGGGATGGAGGTGGGGGTGGATGGGGAGCACCGGGAGAAGGAGATGGAGGTGGGGAGAAGGGGATGGAGGTGGGGAGAAGGGACAGGGAGCACCGGGAGAAGGGGATGGAGGTGGGGAGAAGGGACAGGGAGCACCGGGAGAAGGGGATGGAGGTGGGGGTGGGTAGGGAGCACCGGGAGAAGGGGATGGAGGTGGGGGTGGATGGGGAGCACCCGGGAGAAGGGGATGGAGGTGGGGGTGGATGGGGAGCACCGGGAGAAGGGGATGGAGGTGGGGGTGGATGGGGAGCACCGGGAGAAGGAGATGGAGGTGGGGAGTGGATGGGAGCGCCGGGAGAAGGGGATGGAGGTGGGGAGCACCGGGAGAAGGGGATGGAGGTGGGGGGGACGGGGAGCACCGGGAGAAGGGGATGGAGGTGGGGAGCGCCGGGAGAAGGGGACGGAGGTGGGGGTGGATGGGGAGCACCGGGAGAAGGGGATGCAGGTGGGGAGCACTGGGAGAAGGGGATGGAGGTGGGGGGTGGATGGGGAGCACCGGGAGAAGGGGACGGAGGTGGGGATGGATGGGAAGCACCGAGAGAAGGGGAAGGAGCATCCCCGGCCCGGGGAGCCTCTGGTGCCCCCGCCGCGATCCCGGGATTAGGAGCGAGGATTGCCGTGATCGGATTAAACGGGAGCACAGCGGGGGCGCTCGGGGGGAGGAGGGGTTGGGAGATGGGGAGGGGGGGTTGGGGGTGTAGGCAGTGCCAAGGCCTGATTGTGGGGTCCCGTGGGTTGTGGGGGTCCAGGCTGGGTAGGTCCTGAAGGCCGTGGGGGTCCCGAGGCTGTGGGGTCCTGGTTTTGGGGGGTCCCGTGGCTGTGGGGTCTCAGTTGTGGAGGTCCTCATGGCCGTGGGAGTCCCGGGGCTGTGCGATCCCAGTTCTAGAGGTCCCCATTGCTATGGGGGTCTCCGGGGCCAGGGGGTCCCCTCTGTGTAGGTCCCCATGGTCGTGGGGGTCTTACGGCTATGGGGTGCCGGTTGTGGGGGTCCCCATGGTCGTGGGGGTCTTAGGGCTGTGGGGTGCCGGTTGTGGGGGTCCCCACGGCCATGGGGGTTCTCTCGGTCCTGTGGCCATTGGGTCCCGGTTTTGGGGGGGGTCCCAGGGTCGTTGGGTGCTGGTGATTGTGTCCGTATGACCATGAATCTGGGCTGTGGGGGCCCGGTTTTGGGGGGGTCTCGGGGTCGTTGGGTGCTGGTGATTGTGTCCGTATGGCCATGGGGATGCCGGGGCTGTGGGGGCCCGGTTTTGGGGGGTCCCAGGGTTATTGGGTGCTGGTGATTGTGTCCGTATGGCCATGGGGATGCCGGGGCTGTGGGGGCCCGGTTGGGGGGGTCCCAATGGCCGTGAGGTCCCGGTTTTGGGGGTTCCCCCCCACCCCCGAGCCCCCCCCATCGGCGGGGATGGGCGTGGCTTCAGAAACACCGCCCCTCTCTAATCAGGCCACGCCCCCTCACGCACTCAGACCCCGCCCCTATCTCGCCCTGCTCCGCCCCTCCCCTCTCCTCCCCGCCTCAGCCAATCCACTGCCGGCAGCCGCGCTGCCAACCAATAGGATCGCGCTCCTCCCTCCGCCCCGCCCCTCGTGGGCGGGGCCGATCCTGAGGCGGCGGCGGCTCCGGGAGCGGCGGCGGCGCCGGGAGGGGGGACCGGGAGGGACCGGGAGGGACCGGGAGGGACCGAGGAGGGCTCGGAACGGCCCCGGAGCCCCCGAACGGCCCCGGACAGACCCCCAGATCCCACCATCCCGCGGTGAGGCCCGGCCCGGCCCCCGGAGCACCGGCAGCGGGGGAGCCCCGGCCCGACCCTCAGAGCCCCGGCCTGACCTTCTGCGAATCCCGGCCCGACCCCCGGAACCCCGGCCCGACCCCCGGAACCCCGGCCCGACTCCCCAGAGCCCCGGCCCGACCCCCTGAGCCCCGGCCCGACCCTCAGAGCCCCGGCCTGACCTTCTGCGAATCCCGGCCCGACGCCCGGAGCCCCGGACAGACCCCCTGAGACCCGGCCCGACCCCCGGAGCCCCGGACAGACCCCCGGAGCCCCGGCCCGACCCCTGGGCCCCGGCCTGACCTTCCCTGAATCCTGGCCTGACCCCTGGAACCCCATCCCTGATCCCGGTCCCGCTGTCCCCGAATCCCCGTCCCTGATCCCGGAACGCCATCCCAAGATCCTGGTCCCATCCCGCGGGTCCCCGTCCCTGCTCCCAGAGCCCCGTCCCTGATCCCGTGTCCCCGATCGCAGAGCCCCGTTCCGGGTCCCTGTCCCTGATCCCAGAGCCCCGTCCCCGATCCCGGCTCCCCGTCCCTGAGCCCGGGTTCCCCGTCCCCGATCCCGGCTCCCCGTCCCCGATCCCGGGTTCCCCGTCCCTGATCCCAGCTCCCGGTCCCCATCCCAGCTCCTGGCCCCCATCCCGGGTTCCCCATCCCGGGTTCCCCGGTCCCCATCCCGGTTCCCCGGTCCCCATCCCGGCTCCCGGTCCCCATCCCGGCTCCCCGGTCCCCATCCCGGCTCCCGGTCCCCATCCCGGGTTCCCGGTGCCCGCTCCCGGCGCTGCCGGGGCCATGGCTCGTGTGCCGCTGCCGGCGCTGCACCCCGCGGGGCTTTGCGCGGCCTCGCTGGGCTCCCTGGGGCTGCTGCGGCTCTTGGGGGCCCCGTGGCCCTGGAGCGTGGCGGCCTCGCTGGGGCTGTGCCTGGGCGGAGGAGGGTGGCGGCTGCTGCGGCTCATCGTGCGGACCGCGCCCCGCGACCTCTTGTGAGTCGGGGAGGGGGCACGGGGTGAGGGGTGGGGGGTGTGCGGTGACCTTCAGACTGACCCCCGCCCCGACCCTCCTCTGAGCCACCCCGACCCTGATCCCCACCCCTGTGAGCCACCCCAAGCCCCCTGTGACCCACCCCAACACCATGACCAACCCCGACCACCCTGACCCCCCTCTGATCCACCCCGACCCCCCTGACCAACCCTGACCAGCCTGACCCCCTCTGATCCACCCCTGACCCCCTGACCAACCCTGACCACCCTCTGATCCACTGCGGCCCCCTGACCACCCTGACCCCCTCTGATCCACTCCGAACCCCTGACCAACCCCGACCACCCTGACCACCCTCTGATCCACCCCGACCCCCCTGACCAACCCTGACCACTCTGAGCCCCCTCTGATCCACCCCGACCCCCCTGACCAACCCTGACCTCCCTCTGATCCACTCCGACCCCCTGACCAACCCCTGACCACCCTGACCCCCCTCTGATCCACCCCTGACCCCCTGACCAACCCTGACCCCTCTCTGATCCACCCCTGACCCCCTGACCAGCCTCGACCACCCTGACCCCCTGTGACCCCTCTGACCCTGATCCCCTGGCCCTGAGACACCCCAATCCCCTGACCCACCTCTGACCCACCCCAACCCTGATCCCCACCTCTTTGAGCCACCCCGACCCCTGGATCCCCCTCTGACCCACCCCGACCCTGATCCCCACCCCTGAGCCACCCCAGCCCCCGACCCTCCTCTGACCCACCCTGACCCTGAGACATCCCAACCACCCTCTGACCCCCTGACACCCCTGACCAGCCCTGACCACTCTGACCCCCTCTGACCCCCCCGACACCCCTGACCAGCCCCGACCACCCTGATTCCCCTCTGACCCACTCCAACCTTGAACCCCAGCCCTGAGCCACCTCAAACCCCCTGTGAGCCCCCTGACACCCCTGACCAGCCCCGACCACTCTGACTCCCCTCTGACCCCCTGACACTCCTGACCAACCCTGACCACCATGGCCCCCTCTGACCTCCCTGACACCTCTGACCAGCCCCAACCACTCTGACCCCCTCTGACCCCCTGACACCCCTGACCAGCCCCGACCACTCTGACCCCCTCTGACCCCCTGACACCCCTGACCAGCCCTGACCACTCTGACCCCCTGACACCCTGACCAGCCCCGATCACTCCTGACCCCCTCTGACCCCCTGACACCCCTGACCAGCCCCGACCACTCTGACCCCCTCTGACACTCCTGACCAACCCTGACCACTCTGACCCCCTCTGACCCCCTGACACCCTGACCAGCCCTGACCAGCCCTGACCCCCTCTGACCCACCCCGACCCTGACCCCCATGACCCTGACCCCCAATCTCCCTCTGAGCCCCCAACCCTCATCCACCCCAATCCCCCAAATTGTGCTGACCCCCAACCCCCTCCAGACTCTGACCCACTCTGAGCCCCCTGATCCACCCTGACCCCCCACCTCAATCCTGACCCCCAACCCCTCTCTGACCCACCCTGACCCCCACCTCAATCCTGATCCCCCAACCCTCTCTGACCCACCCTGACCCCCCACCTCAATCCTGACCCCCAACCCCTCTCTGACCCACCCTGACCCCCACCTCAATCCTGGCCTCCCAACCCCTCACTGACCCACCCTGACCCCCCCAATCCTGACCCCCCAACCCCTCTCTGACCCACCCTGACCCCTCCACCTCAATCCTGACCCCCCAACCCCTCTCTGACCCACCCTGACCCCCCACCTCAATCCTGAGCCCCCCATAACACACCCCTGACCTTGACCCCTCAATCAGCCTCTGACCTCCCCATGACACACCCCTGACCCCTCCTGACCCCACTCTAACCCCCAATCACCCTCTGACCCCCATTGACACACCCCTCACCCCTCTTGACCCCTCTCTGACCCACCCTGGCCCCTGACCCCACTCTGACCCCCATCCCAACCCTGACCCCTCATGACCCCCTCAACCCTCTGACCCCCAATCCCCCTCTGACCCCCGACCCCTCTCTGACCCCCATCTCGACCCTGACCCTCTTGACCCCCCAAATCTGACCCCGTGACCCCACCCCTAATCCCCCATGAACCTCCCAACCCTGACCCCCCCCAGCCCAGGGTGCTCCAGGATATTCCAGGATGCTCCGGGATCCATCCCATGGACACTGTGGGAGCCCCCAAAGCCCCAGGGAGGGGGGGATCCCCCCCCCAAAATGTGGGGGCTGAGCTGGGGGCAGAGTCTCCACCCTGTCCCATCTCCCGGGATTCCATGGCTGCCCTCAATTCCATGGATTTTAGGCCCCCTAAAATGAGGATGTGCCTTTATTCCCGAGGATTCCCAAGGATTTGGGGCTCTGGTCGTTTCCCTCACCCCCCTGAGCTCACAGGGAGGGGAATCCCCCCCAGAAAATTCCATCTGGGAGCAGTGAGCCCCCCCATTTTCCCCATCTCCCAGGATTCCCCCCCTCCATCCCACTCAGTTCTGTGGATTTTAGCCCCCCTAAAACGAGGATGTGCCTTTATTCCCAAGGATTCCCTAGGATTTGGGGCTCTGGCCGTTTCCCTCACCCCCCTGAGCTCACAGAGAGGGGGATCCCCCCCAAAAAAATTCCATCTGGGAGCAGTGACCTCCCCCATTATCCCCATCTCCCGGGATTCCCCCCCTCCATCCTACTCAGTTCTGTGGATTTCAGGCTCCCTTAAATAAGGATGTGCCTTTATTCCCAAGGATTCCCAAGGATTTGGGGCTCTGGCCGTTTCCCTCACCCCCCTGAGCTCACAGAGAGGGAGATCCCCCAAAAAAATTCCATCTGGGAGCAGTGACCTCCCCCATTATCCCCATCTCCCAGGATTCCCCCCCTTCACCGCACTCAGTTCTGTGGATTTCAGGTCCCCTAAAACGAGGATGTACCTCTATTCCTAATAATTCCTGAGGATTCCCAAGGATTTGGGGCTCTGGTCGTTTCCTTCACCCCCTGAGCTCACAGACAGGGGAATCTCCCCCAAAAAAATCCATCTGGGAGCAGTGATCCCAACACTACCCCCATCTCCTGAGATTCCCCCCCTCCATCCTACTCAGTTCCGTGGATTTCAGGCCCCCTAAAATGAGGATGTGCCTTTATTCCCAAGGATTCCCAAGGATTTGGGGCTCTGGTCGTTTCCCTCACCCCCCTGAGCTCACAGAGAGGGAGATCCCCCCAAAAAATTCCATCTGGGAGCAGTGACCCCACCACTACCCCCATTTCCTGGGATTTCCCCCCTCCATCCTACTCAGTTCCGTGGATTTCAGGCCCCCTAAAATGAGGATGTGCCTTTATTCCCAAGGATTCCCAAGGATTTGGGGCTCTGGTCGTTTCCCTCGCCCCCCTGAGCTCACAGGGAAGGGGAATCCCCCCCAAAATTCCAGAGTTTCCAGGTCTCCTAAAACGAGGAAGTGCCTTTATTCCCAATAATTCCCGAGGATTCCCAAGGATTTGGGGCTCTGGCTGTTTCCCTCACCCCCCTGAGCTCACAGGGAGGATCCCCCCCAAAATTCCACAGTTTCCAGGTCCCCTAAAACGAGGAAGTGCCTTTATTCCCGAGGATTCCCAAGGATTTGGGGCTCTGGTTGTTTCCCTCACCCCCCTGAGCTCCCAGAGAGGGATCCCCCTCAAAAATTCCATCTCCCGGGATTCCCCCCCCTTCCACCTCCCTCAATTCCTCGGTTTTCAGCCCCAAACCTCCCGCTCTTCCCGAGGGCCTCGCCAGCTCCTTTGAGGAGCCGTTTCCTCCTCCGGGAATAATCCCCCCCGGCCAAATAAAAAAAACAACTCCCTGGAGAAAGAATAAAAGCCCTTCTGGAGCTCCGGGAGCCCCTGAAAGGCTCTTCTGTTCCGGGCTCGGCTCCCTCTGACCCTCGGCCAGGAAATAAAAAACCCCAACCCACAACAACAACAACAACAACCACAACAACCTTTCCCTTCCTTCCCTCCCCCCATTCCCGCTTGGATTCGCTCCCGGAGCTCGGCGGGGACTCCTCGCTGCTCCCCGCCGACCTTTCCAGCCTCCCGGGGGGGTTTTTCCAAGCCCCCGATTGCCCAAGGATTCCCCGATTTCACGGGGCAGGAGTGGGGATCCGCCCCCCTCAAACCCCCCCTTCTCGTTGGGCTCGGGGTGGGGGTTTATTTTTAAGCCGGGTTTATTTTTATAGAGGGGCCGATGGCCAAGCGGGTCAGGGCAGCGACTCCGCCTCGGAGAGCTGGGATAATTCCGGGAATTGCATGGAAAACACCCCCCCACCCCAAAAAAAAACAAAACCCACAAAAACCCAAAATTCAAACAAAAAAACCCCTCTTGTCGCGCTCCCGGTCCCGGAACCCGCCCCGGGAGGCACCGCTTGATGAGCCCGGGAATTGTTGATGTTTATTAATTACGGCTGGAATTAGGGGCGGGATGGGATTCCAGAGGATGAGGCACGGGGAGGGGGGAGGAAGATGTCCCGGTTTTTGGGGGAAAGGGGGAGGGTTTTAGGTGGAAGGAGGAGGTTTTTGGGTGAAAGGAGGAAGTTTTTGGGTGAAAGGAGGACATTTTTGTGTGAAAGGAGAACATTTTGGGGTGAAAGAGGGACTTTTTGGGTGAAAGGAGGAGGTTTTGGGGTGAAAGGAGGAGGTTTTTGGGTGAAAGGGGAATGTTTTTGGGTGAAAGGAGGAGGTTTTTGGGTGAAAGGAGGAGGTTTTTGGGTGAAAGAAGGAGGTTTTCGGGTGAAGGGGGATGTTTTTGGGTGAAAGAAGGAGGTTTTTGGGTAAAAGGAGGACATTTTTGTGTGAAAGGAGAACATTTTGGGGTGAAAGAGGGACTTTTTGGGTGAAAGGAAGAGGGTTTGGGGTAAAAGGAGGAAATTTTTGGGTGAAAGGAGGAGGTTTTATTGGGTGAAAGGAGAAGGTTTTTGGGTGAAAGGAAGAGGGTTTGGGGTGAAAGGAGGAAATTTTTGGGTGAAAGGAGGACGTTTTGTGTGAAAGGAGAAGGTTTTTGGGTGAAAGGAAGAGGGTTTGGGGTGAAAGGAGGAAATTTTTGGGTGAAAGGAGGACGTTTTGTGTGAAAGGAGAAGGTTTATGGGTGAGAGGAGGTGGTTTTTGGATGAAAGGGAGACGTTTCTGGGTGAAAGAAGGAAGTTTCTGGGTGAAAGGAGGAAGTTTCTGGGTGAAAGGAGGAGGTTTTTGGGTGAAAGGAGGAGGTTTTTGGGTGAAAGGGGGATGTTTTTGGGTGAAAGGAGGACATTTCTGGGTGAAAGGGGGATGTTTCTGGGTGAAAGAGGGACGGTTTTGGGTGAAAAAGGGACTTTTTAGGGTGAAAGGAGGAGGTTTTTGGGTGAAAGGAGGAGGTTATTGGGTGAAAGGAGGAGGTTTTAGGGTGAAAGGAGGAGGTTTTTGGGTGAAAGGAGGAGGTTTTTGGGTGAAAGGAGGAGGTTTTTGGGTGAAAGGAGGAGGTTTTTGGGTGAAAGGAGGAGGTTTTGGGTGAAAGGAGGAGGTTTTTGGGTGAAAGGAGGAGGTTTTGGGTGAAAGGAGGAGGTTTTTGGGTGAAAGGAGGAGGTTTTTGGGTGAAAGGAGGAGGGTTTTTTGGGTGAAAGGAGGACGTTTCTGGGTGAAAGGGGAAGCTCTTGGCTGGCTCCTCGGCTCGGGGTGGCTTTGGCTCGGAAAAGGCATCACATCCCAGGGGGGGAAAAGCATCCAAGGGAGCCCCCGGAGCAGCCAAATCCTCCTGGCAGGAAAGTGGGGAAGTGGCTTCGCTGCTTTTCTCGGGGGGAAAAAACCCCAGCGGTTTCCAAGCGGGTTTTTATTGTCAGGGTGGGAGAAAACGTCCTGAAAACTGGGATTTACCCTCCTGTCCCTCCCCAGCCTGGCTCAACAACTTCAGCTTCAGCCCAGTCTTTAATTCCAGCCCAGTTTAACTCTTATTTCACCCTTAATTTTAAGGTTCAGCTTAACTTTTCACTCCAGCCCAGCTTAACTTTGACCTCAGCCCGCTGTTAACTTCTGTTCTGCTCAAGTTTAATTTTAGCCCAGTTTAATTTTACCCTGGCATTGCCCTCAGCCTGGTATTAATTTTACCTCCAGTTTAACTGTGTTAATTTTAACTTCTGCCTGGTGCTGAGTTCACCCTCGTTTAACTTCAGCTTCAGTCCTGATTAACTTCGATTTCAGCCCCGATTAACCAACTTTACCTTCAGTTTTATTGCCAAGCTCAGCCCAGCATCACTTCCAACCCCCTCTTGGTGTCAATCCACCCTGGTTTAACTTAATTTCAGCCCTGATTAACCAACTTTACCTTCACTTTGGTGTTATTTTCAGTCCAGTTTAACTCCAGCTTAACTCTAAATTCGACCTGGGGTTAAGTTTAACTCCAGCTTGGTGTTAAGCTCACCCTCATTAACTTCGGTTTCAGCCCTGATGAACCAACTTTACCTTCACTTTGGTCTTAAGCTCAGCCTGCCCTAACTTTAAGCTCTGGCCTAACTTTAATTTCAGCCCAGCCTCACTTTAATTTCAGCCCAGCATCACTTTCAACTCCCTCTTGGTGTCACCCCATCCTGGTCTAACTTAATTTCAGCCCCGATTAACCACCTTTACCTTCACTTTGGTGTTAAGCTCAGCCTAACTTTTAAGCTCTGGCCTATCTTTAAGCTTTGGCCTAACTTTAATTTCAGCCCAGCATCATTTTCAGCTCCCTCTTGCTGTCACCCCTGGTCTAACTTAATTTCAGCCCTGATTAACCAACTTTACCTTCAGTTTGTTGTCAAGCTCAACCCAGCCTCACTTTAATTTCAACCCAGCATCACTTCCCACTCCCTCTCGCTGTCACCCCATCCTGGTTTAACTTCCATTTCAGCCCCAATTAACCAACTTTACCTTCACTTTGGTGTTAAGCTCAGCCCGGCATCACTTCCAACTCCCTCTTGGTGTCAACTCCCTCTTGGTGTCACCCCACCCTGGTTTAACTTAATTTCAGCCCTGATTAACCAACTTTACCTTCAGTTTATTGTCAAGCTCAGCCCAGCATCACTTTAATTTCAGCTCAGCATCACTTTAATTTCCACCCAGCCTCACTTTAATTTCAACCCAGCCTCACTTTAATTTCAGCCCAGCCTCACTTCCAACCCCCTATCGCTGTCACCCCACCCTGGTTTAACTTCCATTTCAGCCCCGATTAACCAACTTTACCTTCAGTTTGGTGTCAAGCTCAGCCCGTCCTAACTTTAATTTCAGCCCAGCCTCACTTTAATTTCATCCCATCCTCACTTCCAACCCCCCCTCGCTGTCACCCCCTCCCAGTTCAACCCCCCTCTCACCCCAATCCCCGCCATTCCCACACCCTGAACCGACTCCAACCCCCCTTAACTCGCTGAATCCCCCCAAACCCGCCCCTCCACTCCCCCTAACCCCCAGCAGTCCCTCACCCCTTCTCTCCATGCCCTCCTCAGCGGGCTGTGGGTGCTGCTGCGGGTGCAGTTCCACCCCCAGCAGTCCCTGACCCCCTCTTTCTCCCCTCCCCAGCGGGCTGTGGGTGCGGTTTCACCCCCAGCAGTCCCTAATCCCTCTCTTTCTCCCCTCCCCAGCGGGCTGTGGGTGCGGTTTCACCCCCAGCAGTCCCTAATCCCTCTCTTTCTCCCCTCCGCAGCGGGCTGTGGGTGCTGCTGCGGGTGCGGTTCCACCTGCCCTAACCCTAACCCTAACCCCTCCACCTAACCCTAACCCTAACCCTAACCCTAACCCTAACCCCTCTCTCTCTCCCCTCCCCAGCGGGCTGTAGGTGCTGCTGCAGGTGCGGTTCCACCTGCCTCCTAACCCTAACCCTAACCCTATCTCTCCCATCCCCAGCGGGCCGTAGGTGCTAGCTGCGGTGCGGTTCCACCCTAACCCTAACCCTAACCCTAACCCCCTCTCTCTCCCCTCCCCAGCGGGCTGTGGGTGCTGCTGCAGGTGCGGTTCCACCTGCCCTAACCCTAACCCTAACCCTAACCCTAACCACCTAACCCCTAACCCCTAGCAGTCCCTAACCCTAACTCTCTACCCCTAACCCCAGCGGGCTGTAGGTGCTGCTGCGGGTGCGGTTCCACCTGCCCTAACCCTAACCCTGACCCTAACCCTAACCCTAACCCTAACCCCCAGCAGTCCCTAACCCCTGTTTCTCCCCTCCCCAGCGGGCTGTGGGTGCTGCTAGTGCGGTTCCACCTACCCTAACCCTAACCCTTCCACTAACCCTAACCCCAGCAGTCCCTAACCCTCTCTCTCCCCTAGCCGGCTGTGGGTGCTGCTGTGGGTGCGGTTCCACCTGCCCTAACCCTAACCCTAACCCTAACCCCCAGCAGTCCCTAACCCCTGTTTCTCCCCTCCCCAGCGGGCTGTGGGTGCTGCTGCAGGTGCGGTTCCACCTGCCCTAACCCTAGCCCTAACTCTAACCCTTCCACCTAACCCTAACCCCCCTGTTTCTCCCCTCCATGCCCTCCCCAGCGGGCTGTGGGTGCTGCTGCAGGTGCGGTTCCACCTGCCCTAACCTAGCCTAACCCTAACCCTAACCCCTGTTTCTCCCCTCCCCAGTGGGCTGTGGGTGCTGCTGCGGGTGCTGTTCCACCCCCAGCAGTCCCTAACCCTAACCCCCTGTTTCTCCCCTCCCCAGCGGGCTGTGGGTGCGGTTCCACCTGCCCTAACCCTGACCCCCCCTGTTTCTCATGCCCTCCCCAGCGGGCTGTGGGTCCTGCTGCGGGTGCGGTTCCACCTGCCCTAACCCTGACCCTAACCCTAACCCTAACCCTGACCCCCCCTTTCTCTCCATGCCCTCTGCAGCGGGCTGTGGGTGCTGCTGCGGGTGCAGTTCCACCTGCCCTAACCCTGACCCCCCGTTTCTCCCCTCCCCAGCGGGCTGTGGGTGCAGTTTCACCCCCAGCAGTCCCTAACCCCTCTCTTTCTCCATGCCCTCCCCAGCGGGCTGTGGGTGCTGCTGCGGGTGCGGTTCCACCTGCGGCGCCACCAGCGCTCCCGCTCCACCGTCCCGGGGCTCTTCGCGGCCGTGGCGCGGCGCCTGCCGGACAAGGCCGCGCTCATCTACGAGGCCACCGGCGAGCTCTGGACCTTCCGCCGCCTCGACGAGGTGTCCAACGCCGTGGGCCACGTGTTCCGGCGCCGGGGCTTCGGCTGCGGGGACGTGGTGGCCCTGCTGATGGAGTCGCGGCCCGAGTTCGTGGCGCTCTGGCTGGGCCTGGCCAAGGCGGGCGCCGAGGCCGCGCTCCTCAACTCCAACCTGCGGCGGGAGTCGCTGGCCTACTGCGTGGCCGCCTCCGGAGCCAGGGCCATCGTCTTCGGGGGGGAGCTGGCCGCAGGTCGGGGGGAGAGGGGGGACAGGGTGGGCACGGGGAGGGGATGGGGAGGGTGAGGGTGATGGGGAGGGGATGGGGAGGGGGTGGAGAGGGGGATGGTGAGGAGGATGGGAGGCAGGAGGGTGAGGGTGGGCATGGGATGGGGAGGGGAATGGGGAGGGGTGGAGAGGGGATGATGAGGAGGATGGGGAGGGGATGATGAGGGGCTCAGGTGGGCACAGGGATGGGGAGGGGATGGGGATGGGGAGGGGGTGGGGATGGTGAGGAGGATGGGGAGGGGATGATGAGGGGCTCAGGTGGGCACAGGGATGGGGAGGGGATGGTGAGGACGATGGGCAGGGGAATGGGAGGGGGTGGGGAGGCGATGATGAGGGGCTCAGGTGGGCAGAGGGATGGGGAGGGGATGGGGGAGGGGGATGATGAGGGGCTCAGGTGGACACGGGGAGATGGGGGAGGGAATGGGGAGGGAGATGGGGAGGGGGATGATGAGGGGCTCAGGTGGGCACAGGGGTGGGGAGGGGATGGGGAGGAGGATGGGGAGGGAATGGGGAGGGGGTGGGAGGGGCGATGATGAGGGGCTCAGGTGTGCACAGGGTTGGGGAGGGGATGATGAGGGGCTCAGGTGGGCAGGGGATGGGGAGGGGGACGATGAGGGCTCAGGTGGGCACAGGGGTGGGGAGGGGAATGATGAGGGGCTCAGGTGGGCAGGGGGATGGAGAGGGAATGGGGGAGGGATGGGAAGGGGCTCAGGTGGGCAGGGGGCAGTGGAGGGAGATGATGAGGGGCTCAGGTGGGCAGGGGGCAGTGGAGGGGATGATGAGGGGCTCAGGTGGGCACGGGGATGGGGAGAGGGATGGGGAGGGGTGGGGAGGGGGATGATGAGGGGCTCAGGTGGGCACAGGGATGGGAGAGGGGGATGGGGAGGGGGATGATGAGGGGCTCAGGTGGGCAGAGGGGATGGAGAGGGGGATGGGGAGGGGGATGATGAGGGGCTCAGGTGGGCAGGGGATGGAGAGGGGGTAGGGAGGGGGATGATGAGGATCTCAGGTGGGCACGGGGGATGGGGAGGGGATGATGAGGGGTTTGGGTGGGCAGGGGGATGGGGAGGGGATGGGGAGGGGGCTCAGGTGGGCAGGGGATGGGGATGGGGAGGGGATGATGAGGGGGTCACGTGGGCACAGGGATGGAGAGGGGAGGGGGCTGGGGGAGGGTCTCAGGTGGGCAGAGGGCAGGTGAGGGGGCAGGGGAGAGGCTCAGATGGGCACGGGGATGGGGAGGGGTGTGGAGGGGGATGATGAGGGGTTCAGGTGGGCAGGAGGCAGGTGAGGAGCTCAGGTGGGCACAGGGAGGTGGGCAGGGGGATGGTGAAGGGGCTGGGGAGGGGCTCGGGTGGGCACGGGGATGGTGAAGGGGATGATGAGGGCTCGGGTGGGCACAGGGAAGTGGGCAGGGGCAGGGAAGGGTCTCAGGTGGGCAGGGGCAGATGAGGAAGGGACAGGTGAGGACTCAGGTGGGCAGGGGCAGGTGAGGGGCTCAGGTGGGCAGGGGCAGGTGAGGGGCTCAGGGGGCAGGGGGCAGGTGAGGAAGGGACAGGTGAGGGGGCTCAGGTGGGCAGGGGTCTGGGAGGGTCTCAGGTGGGCAGGGGGCAGATGAGGAAGGGACAGGTGAGGACTCAAGTGGGCAGGAAGATGATGAGGGGGCAGGTGAGGGGCTCAGGGGGCAGGGGGCAGGTGAGGAAGGGACAGGTGAGGGTCTCAGGTGGGCAGGAGGCAGGTGAGGAAGGGACAGGTGAGGACTCAAGTGGGCAGGAAGATGATGAGGGGGCAGGTGAGGGGCTCAGGGGGGCAGGAGGCAGGTGAGGAAGGGACAGGTGAGGACTCAAGTGGGCAGGAAGATGATGAGGGGCAGGTGAGGGGCTCAGGGGGCAGGAGGGCAGGTGAGGAAGGGACAGGTGAGGACTCAAGTGGGCAGGGAGATGATGAGGGGGCAGGTGAGGGGCTCAGGGGGGCAGGGGGCAGGTGAGGAAGGGACAGGTGAGGGGCTCAGGTGGGCAGGGGGCAGATGAGGGGCTCAGGGGGCAGGTGAGGGGCTCAGGGGGGCAGGGGGCAGATGAGGAAGGGACAGGTGAGTGTCTCAGGTGGGCAGGGACAGGTTAGGGGCTCAGGTGGGCAGAGGGATGATGAGGGTCTCAGGTGGGCACAGGGAGGTGGGCAGAGGTCTGGGGAGGGTCTGAGGTGTCAGGGGGTGCCCCCCTGGGTGATTTTTGCCCCCCTGAGGATCCCCCTGTGTCCCCCCAATCCCGGGTGTCCCCGCAGCCGTGGCCGAGGTGGACGGGATGCTGGGCAAGAACATGGAGAAGTTTTGCTCCGGGGAATTCCACCCGGACCTGGTGCCCAGGGACACCAAACACCTGGACCCCCTCCTGAATTCCGCCCCCACGACCCCCTGACCCCCACCCCGGAGAAAGGCCTGGATGGTGAGTCACTCCCCCTTGGAAATTCCCGGGAATGGGGGCAGGGAGTTGGTGGCACAAAAAGGAGGGATTGGAGGGATGGGATCAACCCCTCCCAGCTCTGAAATCATGGAATCCTGGAATGGTTTGGGTGGGAAGGGACCTTAAAGCTCATCCCATCAATCCCATCCCATCCCATCCCATCCCATCCCATCCCATCCCATCCCATCCCATCCCATCCCATCCCATCCCATCCCATCAATCCCATCCCATCCCATCCCGCCCCACCCCATCCCATCAATCCCATCCCATCCCATCCCATCCCATCCCATCCCCTCCCCTCCCATCCCATCCCATCCCATCCCATCCCATCCCGCTGGCCTGGGAATGCTGCCGAAGGGTTTTCCCTTGGATTATCGATTTTTCGTGTCAAATTGATCAAATTGGGGATTGATTAACGGAATTAGTGAAAGGATTGGATCCCCTAATGAGTCAGAACCGTCGGAGGCAGCTCCAGAACTTCCTTATCCGGTGATTTAAGGAGTGTTTGGAGGAAGCTCTCGGGCACAGGGTGGGAATTTGGGATTGTCCAGGGGCCGGGAGCTGCATCCTTGAGGATGTTCATGGATTCCAACTCGGGAGATTGGGAATCCTCTGGACACATCCCTGTGTCCTTTGGAACATGTGGATCCTCTGGGGTCCCTCTGGAACGTTTGGATCCTCTGGAAACCTCCTGGAACATGTGGATCCTCTGGGAACCCTTTGGAATGTTTGGATCCTCAGGGATCCCTCTGGAACATGTGGATCCTCTGGGAACCCTCTGGACACATCCCTGTGTCCTTTGGAACATGTGGATCCTCTGGGATCCCTTTGGAACATGTGGATCCTCTGGGATCCCTCTGGAACATGTGGATCCTCAGGGATCCCTTTGGAACATGTGGATCCTCTGGGAGCCCTCTGGAATGTTTGGATCCTTTGGGAACCCTTTAAAAATGTGGATCCTCTGGGGACCCCCTGGAATGTTTGGATCCTCTGAGAACCCTCTGGAACATGTGGATCCTCTGGGAACCCCCTGGAATGTTTGGATCCTCTGAGAACCCTCTGGAACATGTGGATCCTCTGGGAACCCCCTGGAATGTTTGGATCCTTTTGGAACCCTCTGGAACATGAGGATTCTCAGGGATCCCTCTGGAACATGTGGATCCTCTGGGAACCCCCTGGAATGTTTGGATCCTCTGAGAACCCTCTGGAACATGTGGATCCTCTGGGATCCCCCTGGAATGTTTGGATCCTCTGGGAACCCTTTGGAACGTTTGGATCCTCTGGGATCCCTTTGGAACATGTGGATCCTCTGGGATCCCTCTGGAACATGTGGATCCTCTGGGAACCCTTTGGAACATGTGGATCCTCTGGGATCCCTCTGGAACATGTGGATCCTCTGGGAACCCTTTGGAACATGTGGATCCTCTGGGAACCCTCTGGAACATGTGGATCCTCTGGGATCCCTTTAAACGTGGATCCTCTGGGATCCCTCTGGAACATGTGGATCCTCTGGGAACCCCTGGAATGTTTGGATCCTCTGGGATCCCTCTGGAACATGTGGATCCTCAGGGATCCCTTTGGAACATGTGGATCCTCAGGGGACCCTCTGGAATGTTTGGATCCTTTTGGAACCCTCTGGAACATGTGGATCCTCTGGGAACCCCCTGGAACATGTGGATTCTCTGTGGATCCTTTGAACACAGATCCTTCTGG